TTATTTGCACTTGTTTGTAACATTGTGATAATTGCAAATTAAATTTTCTCTCACAATCAGTTTAAGTTTGTATGTTTAGGCACTTAAATTTTCGATACCTATGCATGCGTGAAATACATAGATATTAATCTAGAAAACTATAATTAAAAATATAAATTATAAAAAAGGAGGTTTAATTAAACGATGTATAATTACATATAATCACACACAGTTGCCTTCAAGTGTCTCATTGTCTTGAAAGATACATGAACTTTATAAACTTTTATGCTTCCAATATTACATAAAATCGATTTATCTTTTGAATCAGCATTACGTTTTTCGAATAAAGAACTACATTCAAAAAATCTGAACGTTGTTATACGTTATATTGAGTATTGCTTATAAAATTTCTTGTCTAATGCTGACATATATAGAGAAGCGAATGAACTTTAATTACGAGAAACTGTTCTCAAATCTGGCCATCTAGTATCGAATCGACGAGTTTCCATTCAGATAGCCATATGATATATCTTTAGGTATGTGTAGGTAAGACGCTAGACACAAGTTTCATATGAATCTGTAGGTTGGAGATAAAATATATATTTTTTAAACGTCTCTGGCAGGACGTTTCAAATTTGCGAGCAAATTCAAGCGCATTATATTTTAAATTATATTATCTATTCTCTTCCTTAAGTTGTGTTGAGTACACGACATACAATATAATAATTATCGCATTATTCCATACGCAATGTATAATAATACTGCATTCATATAAATAATTAATAATTTCTGAACGTCCGCACTGAGTCGATCATACCTACCTGTCATATCAAAAACGAACTTGTCTTTGTAATGTATCACGGTCAAACGATTTTCAATAACTGCCAAAAATTGTGATAAATATGAATAACTTATCATGTTAAATGTCGCTTATAAAAAAAAAAACGTGCGAATCACGTAGAATGTATATACAGGGAAATATGTGGAAACTTAATTGTAAGAAACTATTCGCAATCTCGGTCATCCAGCGACAGACGTCTGGCATCTTGAGATAAAAAAATCTGACCGTTTCAGGTAATCGCCTCCGACAATCGGAATTTATATAGGCAGAAACGGGTCAGACCAAATGACAATAGCTAACAGTCTTACCAAGCCCGAGCGTAACGAAAAGAAAAGAGACACGATATGGTTTAGGTAGTCCTACGCTTGAGCAGGGAAAAATGGGAAAGAATGCCGAACCGAAGGAAAGAAAGACGGAAAGCGGGGGAAAAGGAGAATATCAAAGTCGTTACCGGCATGTGTGCTCGTGACGCTCCGACGATTGTTACTCGAGACTTTTTCTCGGTTCGAATTTCTGTCTTCCTCTGCGCGAGTTGTGTCCGTCGATCTTCCGACGTGACAATCATACGCGAAGTGCATGGGTGTCCCCGCGGCGGATCGCGTCTACAAATATAAAGTGTAAACTTTAGGCGCGCGGGGGAGGAGCGGGGGAGCGTAACGCGCTATGGCCACGACCGCGGGTCGTCGTCGCAAATTAGTTACGGCGAAGTATAATGCAACCGGTCTACCTGCGCTACGTGGCGAGACGTTTTTATTTTAGATTCTGCGACGGGTAGCCAAGGATGTTTAGCCGATCCGAGAGATCGCGTAGCGGATATGAGGCTGGTCGACACGTCTGAACGTGACGCACCGTCGAGGAAACGGTTGAAGTTAGGCGACGTTTAATTGCGAGAGCGTGCCGCGGCACGCGTTCATCCGGAACGCGTCGGTAAATGATATTTTTGATAGGTTTCCGTCTCCCGCGCGAGCTGAGTGTTTTTATCGACCGGTCGTTACAGGCACTCGTCTACGACACGCACGGACATCGGCTCGACAAATTACGTTTATAACATGGAAAATGCAAGTTTTTTAAAGCGAGGAACTGTTCGTGCCGTAGACGGGGAGCGGCACATTGTGTCTGCTTTTTCATGCATTTATGTAGTAATCTTTAGAGCGCGGATGTTCGTGAGATTTCATGGTGAATCGTCCTACTCGGGTCACCCGAGATGCAAGGTTAAGTTTTCCTGACAACGAAAATAGTAGAGTGAAAAGGAATTTAGGCATCAACGTACGCGAAAAACAATTGCACTTGCAAAAACAACTGGATTGTCTCAACGCGTCTTAGCCCGGCTTTTCTGGGAAGGATCGTCGTGAAATTTCACGAACTTATGTGGCCTAATAATCGTTTATGTAAATAAAAGGAATCAACGATTTAGGTGTACTTATATAAGTGCGTACAGAAGGATATGTTTAATAAAATATAGCAAAACTTGTGTGTTGAAAGATTAAAATAAAATCAATAAGAATCGAGACATTAAATGAAAAACTAATAGATATATCTATTGATGAAATTAAAAACATAGAAGAAATAAATTAATTCTTGAGAGAAATAGTCATTAAATGTACATAATAAGTTGATTAAACAATAATTGATTATTTTTTTAGTTCATATCAGGTAATCCAAACCACAAAAACATTCAAAAAATGTGGATATAAAGTTTGAATGTATGGTATGCACGAACACAATTCCTCGTCAGAAGATATAATAGTAGTAAACGTTTTTTAAACACGAGAAAGTGCTATTGTATTCATCCATCTATCGGCAGAAAATGGCACTTTTTAATTGTTTTTGTGCAAGCATAAATAATTGCAGGCTAAAAGCCGGTTTCACCAACGTCGATCAACTGTAACCTTCGAATCATAAACTCACACTTCGGTTACAGCGGAAGGTTAATCGACGTGAAACTTGGCCTAAGCAAATATGATCAAAATAACAGAAATATAACACGGAATTTTTTTATAATCTTCTTACATCATTTTAAAGATTTTTATATTAAATAATATAATATTGAATATTATGTAATATACTAATGTAACATACAGACAAATCCATTAAATTAGACAATCAGAAATCTCGCAGTTTTTCTATACAAATAATTTTTTCTCATATTTGCACTTTATTGTTAACAACGAAAAATAGCTTGTCTTCAGCACTTGTCGGATCGATTGAGATATTATGGAGGATTCACATTGCGTCCGATGTTCGACGTACGACGATCCGACATCCAATAACAGAATTTATTATTAGAGACAAAAATTTCCTATTGGATGTCGGATCGTCGTACGTCGAACATCGGACGCAGTGTGAATCCTCCATTAGGAGAAAGAAGTTAAGTTTCGAATTGTCCAATGTTCTTATAAATAGGTCACCATTCTAAAAATTTGCGATAAATAATTTATCGCTTATTGAGTATTGCTTATAACAGGCCTCGTTGAAGTGACACTTATAAAGAAAACGTGTTGAATTTTAATTACGAGAAACTGCTTTTAGGTTCAGCCATCTAGCGACAACTTACAAACTAATTTTCATTGTCGATAATGTCGACAATAAACGCGTTGGTATTACAACATCTCCTCTCATTAAACGTTATTGTATTAGAAATGTAAATTATTATTCGAATGATATATAACACTTTTTCAAGTAAAAGTACCTTCAAAAGATTATACATTATAGTAATAGTTACTATTGAGTATTGCTTATGCCCGTTCTAGACTGGAGGATGAGCCGACTCTCGGCTCATCCGAGTAAGTGGTGTAGACGGATAAAAATCTATAGTTTATGTATAGTTTATGTCACGTACACTATAGAAGGCGGATGAGCCGAGAGTCGGCTCATCCTCCAGTCTAGAACGGGCATTATTTTAACATTTGTTCTACTCTAATTGTAAATCATTTATTAATATATGATCGTACTTCATCGTACCGAAATTATTTCAATGTTTTATTCCTGAGTGAACATTGTGAACAATTTAACTTTAGATGTACATAACGTTTAATAATCTTAAACTACTTGCAAAAAATGTAGTTCAAATATATTGAGTATTGCTTATAAAATTTTCTACTAATGTAAAACCTATATAAAGGATATGTGTCAAAAATTAAATACGAGAAAGTGTTCTTACTCTTTGTCATCTAGCGACAGATCAAGGAACTTCGCCAAGCAGCTATTATTTATAACTGAATTTTAATCAGGCATATATATGTAATCAGAGCGTTCTACATAAAAAAGGTCGAATAACATCGAGTGTTATACCATACCATACATTTGAATAATAATGTAAATGTTCGTTTGTCAGTGCATAATATGTAGACAAATTGTTTGGATGAACAAATATTATATCGTAACAAATTCTATTTTGGTTTTCCATTGTTAATTGCCAAACAGCTGTAAATATTGTCTGCAAGATAGATGCGTTCTGGTAATAATTAAATTACAGAGAGTCGAAGATGAAAAACTTTTTTGTGTTGCGAATTTATGATTATGTAATTCCATGATATTCGATGAGAATGGTATTCTTATATCAAGAGATGCTGATCTTGAATAATATAAAACTTTACTATCAAATATCTAAAAATGTCACCGGCGTATAGTAATATCTTACATATTCTCTTCTCAAACATCAAAACTATATTTCAAATATAAATATTAAACTAAATGTAGCTTTTATATATATATATATATATATATATATATATATATATATATTATTAATTTAAATGATTCAGATCTGCGCTTTATATGATACCTGTGATTTTTAATATAAATAAATTTTATAATTTACCGACAACAAATATTATTGCATATTATTTCAATATTTTTATAATATTATCTTATATATTATAAAAAAGATTAACGTCCATAATAAGGAAGAGGCCGGGATATACAATTTTACTCGAGTAATATATTTGTTATATTGAATATTAATTATATATCAATACATAGGTATATATGATGTATTGACATAAATTAGTCAAATATATACTAAATGCAAAATACATATTTTTTTAATGAATGTAACATAATTTTTTGTAAAAATACATTACATTTTTCCACATTCATAAGCAGTATAATTAAATTTCATGTTATTCGATATAATGATTGAATAAAATACAGTCGAAAAAAATATGAAATAGAAATTCGCATTTAATATTAATTATTGGCAATACTATTGTTTTCTTCGTTGAAATCGATATTATTATATTATAGCTATCAGAAACTGTAGGTAGATATATGTTCACATAGAAGTCATTTAAATTTTTTATGAGTATAAAAATGCTTAAGTAATATATTGTACATACGTGTTGTGAATTTGTAATGTACTTATTTTAAATCTGTAATATCTTCTGTTCTTATCACTTCTTTTCTACATTGAGATATAGTATTTACAATAATGCAATATACAATAAAGATATATTGGACAAAAAGCCGGCATTAATAATTTTGGTAAATAAAAAATGATATATTAAAAAACTGGCCATATAATTTTTTAAATACTTTGATATCTAAACAAAATTGTATAGTTATGTAAAGTAAACATATAGATATAAGAAACGGACATATATATACATATAAGATCAGGAAAACATATCAGAGTTTCTCAAAAATATAGCAAGAAAAAATACTAATAAATAAAATTCTGATATCTTTTTAACTTATATATTAAGTCTAATATACGATATTTTTTACATATGGATAATGACTCCGTATCCTGATACAAGACATTAAAATGATTTTACAGAGGTTTTTAAATTGCGTTCCTATTTAAGCTGGTCCTAGAATATCCATGTTTGTCGTTGTATCCTGGACATTGCTATACGCGATCATATACTCAGAAACAGATATATATACTGCAACCAACAAACCGATAACGCTTGCTGCATAAACGTTACGTTGCAAAATAATACATGTCGCCACACAAAGTCCGAAATACGTCAGATATCTCGCCAGATTTTCTTGTTTCTTGCGGCCAAGAAGATCTGAATCTACAAATAACATATATTATAAATATTTAAAATAAGTTACATTATATCATTATTTGAAGTACCTACTTATACACAAATTATCCTTTTTATGATAATCATCGGCACATTTGACACACATATCTGGCCCATCGCCGGTGCAACCGTTGCAGGCTTTGTCGCAAGCTGAAAAGATTGCAAATTTTTTATTTTAATATATCCAAATTAAAAATAATTTAATAAAAATAGATAAGGTGTATATATACCCAAACAAGCATAGCTCCCTTCTTTATTAATGCAGAATTGATTGCCAGGACAGATATCGTTGCTTCTTAAACATTCGTCGATATCAAAGCAGCCTTTGTCTTCGATCATGTACCATCCAGCAGCACATTTCTCGCAATCCTTTGGCCCGGCGCCTTTACAAGGTCCGTCGCACGCCGCATGACATGAGGAACATAACAAGGTTTTTTCGTCCTTATAAGATTCATAGTATCTCGGAGCGCACTCTGAACAAATGTCTCCAATATATCCCTTATCGCAGAAGCAGCCACCATTTCCCTTTCTCGTGCCAGCTCCTTTACATTTGCCATTATTGCTGCAGATTCTATCTGGATATCCTGGACACTGCGTACAGTTCGGACCGTAATGATCTTTCGGACAACAACGTTCTGTCTTTTCGATACAGATATAATCGTATATATCTGGATAAGTATCTTGATGCTTGAACCACCATTCCTCTATCTGACTCTCCAATTCTTCGGCTAAAGATTGGCACTGCACCTCGCCACGCTCAACATCTTTACACAAGTTCTCTTGTATTTCAATCAGTCGTATTTCACTTCTTGAGTACGAGCCTAACTTGTCCTCTTCCCAAGCGCTATCTCCGCCCTCAAACTTCCCACGACTCGTCTTGTCTAAACCCTATAAAATAATTATAATTCATGAAAATATTCTCAAATGACAAAATTATTTATTTAAATAACATGAATAGTGTTACGTCTCTTTTGACAGTTTTAACGCAAAATTATTTTAATATAACTAATTAAATACTTCTATCTAAAATCAGAAAAGGAAGGGGGTTGTTTACCTTTTTGAAACTACTGGTAAGTATTTTGCACGCTGCGCAGGGCGGAAATTTTTGAGATTTGAGTTCCTCCTCGCCCAGTTTTTCTTTCTCACATTGGATGCTACTCATGCAAGTCAATACGATTACAAAAATGTTAAGAAAAACAACACTGGTCGGCACTCGCATTATACCGTACCGGTTATCAACACGACTATAATATATTTATAAAAAAAAATTATGGCGAGGAAGCACAGAGAAAAGTGTCCGTTTTATTCTTGGAGAATAAGAAGCTAACGACTCCCGAACGTTTGTCTTATCTCGGACTAGATCATAATTACTCCGAATAGTTTCATTCGAAACGTCTGACAGATTGACGTCTGAGGTTAGGCGGAGCGGACGACAAAACGTGTCTTCCGCGATACCGGCCAATCACAGCGCATCGCGTGCAACTCGTCGATGTGTTTCAAATTCCTTGGCTAGTGGCTCCGAACATGGCGACTGACGCGTTAAGGTGAAAGCACATAAAATTGCAGGAGCCATGAGCAGAATGCAGAAGCCATATGCGCATGCGCTGTGGTATCTGTAGAGCTCTACAAATACCATAGCGCATGCGCATATGGCTTCTGCATTCTGCTCAAGGCTCCTGCAATTTTATGTGCTTCCACCTTTAACCAGCCAATCAATTGCACCGATAATAGACTTGTTCGCGTTGCTTGAAATCCCCAAACATTTTTGCACTTGAAATGAGATAAATATATATTCGGCCGTTGGAGAGAGAGAAAGCGAAGATGCTGAGTGCAAAAAGTGCAAGCAACGCGAACAGACCCAATGCTCCGTTGTCTTTAGGGTGTTAATTTTCTAACTAAAATGTCACTAGAAGAAAAAGCGCAGAAAAATAACGTGCAAACCGCATCTGTGTTTCATATCGTTGATTTTATAGTTCGGGGTTATGTAGTGACGTGTCTCCATCGTGTCAAAAGTTTAAAGAATATCGAGAGGGTGGTGTTTAATTAATCGCGTTTCGAACAATTGGCTAAAGTAAAATGTTGACGAAGTTTGAGACGAAATCTGCTCGAGTGAAGGGCTTGTCCTTTCATCCGAAACGTCCCTGGGTGCTTGCGAGGTAAAGTGACAGATGTCTTTAAACTAATTTCTTGACTATGTTGATATTTTTACTAATAAAGTATTTATCCGTTTGTAACAGCAAAATATTTCGTCTAAATTATTTACTAAGTTAGAAAATGATTTGATAATTATTAGATGCGTGAATGCGTATTAACAGACATAACCTCTTAATCAATGCACAGTGCTTTCAATAA